TGAGATGCCAGGTCAGGATCATATCTCCTTTGATTCACAGCATTAAGTTACTGTTTCTTTCTGCAATAGACTGGTTGCCAACCAAGCCTATTGGACACAGTCTGTTCTGCTATTTACCCATGGCTGGGGGAAGAAGAAGTGGATTCATACATTTCCCAAGGGTATTTGTGCATAAATGAATCTAAGGAACCTGACTGGAAATTGAACTTGGCTCTCCATATTCTCATTCCAAGCTGTTATCCACTATGCCACACTGCACAACCTTTCTACACTCCGTGTGTCCCAAAAAGAAATCTTTTGCCCAAGAAAAAAAAATACAATCAAAGCTTAAAAGAAATATCTTATTTAGAGTATTAACATTGTTCAGAATGTTGTCCTCATCTTTATTGCAATATTCACAATGTTTCAACCGTAGTACACCCTGGCCTTCCTCAGGTGATAGGAATTTTGAACTGAACCCTTTATTTTGTCCACTGACGTAGATTGTTCTAGTTCCATGTGCCATCCTCTTTTGGATGTCTCAATAGATAGATTGAACATAGTGGACAAAATAAAAGGTTCAGTTTTATATTCCAATCACCTGAAGAAGGCCGGAGCGTACAACAGCCAAAACATCGTGAATATGGCAATAAAGATGAGGAAAAAAAGTCTGACAAATGTAAATAATTACAATGCCTTAACTCAGAAATATAAAAGAAATATCTTGTCAGTCATTTTTAATTAAACCTGTGTGTGTGTGTATATATATATATATATATATATATATATATATATATATATATATATATATATTTAAAGCAATATTTATATGCCTTTTGTTCCCCATCCAGAAAAGTGGCAGTTGTTCTTATACTCAATAAAGGATAATGGTGCAGTAGAATTGTTTTATGGAATCCCAACTTTATATTCCCTTCTAAAAAGACTTTATCATTATTGGCTGGTGCTTGTCTTTAACAGGGTTACTAATAAGATATATTCTGAATATGTCTTTTTGTTCCTTACCTAGAAAAGTGGCAGATGGTCTTACTTATACTCAATAAAGGATAATGGTGCAATAGATTTGTTTTATGGAATCCCAACTTTATATTCCCTTCTAAAAAGACTTTATCATTATTGGCTGGTGCTTGTCTCTAACAGGGTTACTAATAAGATATATTTTGAATATGTTTTTTTGTTTCCCCACCTAGTTTAGCTTGGCTTGGCTTTGGATATAAAGCATTTTTCTTCCTTAATTTCTAATTGTTTAGTGAAATTTTATTTACCAAAATAAGGTTTCAGCTTTCATTCACATTTTTATTAGTGAAGCAATCTACTAAAATGTACAGACTCCATCTTTCTTTCTTTCATTTCTAACTCTTACAGAAAGGAAGGAAAGAAATGGATAAACCAAAATGGATATTGACAGAAGGAAGCAGCCTTTGGCATGAGGCCATGTTTCTGCTACAATTGATGAGGATTAAGCTTATCCTTAAAGGATTATGAGATTAGGACACTCTATATGTGCACTGGATTAAGAAGTGTAATCTGTTGTGTCTTCCACTTTTCTTTTAAGTTGTATCTATCCTTTCTTGAGGTGGAATTAACAAATGCAATATATTTGATTTGAAATCTTTACTTACAATACACAGAATATTTTATGACTCAAGTGTTCTTCTGAGTCAATGAAAAAATCAAATGAACATTCCTATCATTGCTCAATGTCAGCATTAGAAATTTTCCAGAGGTAAACTATTTATATATGAGCAAAAGTCAAAAATTATCCACACTCTTGTCTAAAGATGTTATGGCAAAAGTGCAGATCATTTTAGACTTATCCTCATAGATAAGTTTTCTGATCAAGGACATGAATTTACCATAGAGCCTTTCCAAATGAATACATCTTTCAATGTATTTACACTTTAATAAATTGTATTCTTCTTTAATTAAAATTGCATTCTTTAAGTTGATATCATGGTTAGATATTATGATGAATGAAAAATGCACTGAGTGTAGTTTTTAAAAGGTCCCTTTTGCATTCATAAAATCTTTTAAATTCTGAGATGCTTCACCTATATGTTTTGGGACATTTTTTTTACAGATTGTTTTGTAAATTTTTGTTTTAGGTTATTATTTTGTTTAGTTTTAAATAAATCTATTATTTTCTTTTTTTATGTAGTTATGACATATAATAAGCCTAGTTGCCAATCTAGTAGCACATTTAAATTCATGCAGTCAAGGCACCGAGGAGGAAAGAGTATCAGAACAATTGTCATGAAAATATTTATAGAAAAGGCAGAGAGAAGCCAAGTCATGTTGGTGAGAAAGTGACTGATGTCGAGATGCCAACTCAGGACTGATAATATTGCAGATTCTTCTTTGAATTTTGTCAAGAATCTTGAGAAATGAACATGATGATGCATTTACACATTCCTGATAACAGCAATGCAGATTTTCACATCTTATCTGTATTTATTAGTCATTTCTTTACACTTGAAATTTAATTTTCAAGAGATTTTTGCATAATATATCAAGGAGGAAGTTTGAATAAAATATTAAAATATTGGTATGTACAACATTTTGATAATTTTTAATACCTGTATGACATATGTATATTATGGATTTTACAAGTATGCGAGTAAACTTACAGTATTAAGTACCATGTGAAAAACATTTACTTTGCATTGTTATTTCTGGTCTGAAATGTAATATTTATAACAACAAAGTTTCAGGAATAATATTTTTACTTGATTACAAGGTAAATTATTTATTAGTATTTTATGTTAATTAATTTATCACTGTGTATGTACTAGACAGACCAATTAATGGAAAGGGACCATTTTTTCCTTGGTTTGAAATTTTTATTTTCCAAAATGAATTTATCATAATGTATCTTATAAATGAAGCATTTAAAATGAAACCTCATAATACAAGACACAATCAGTTTGCTTCTCTAACTGGTAGACCATACAAGAAATATATTTATATTTTCACATAAATACTAATTTTTGGAGTGTAACATTAATCTTCTTTGGGGATCGAAAACGAGGCCCATATTTAATTATTGTAAGAGAAAAGGTTGTCAGTGACAAAACAAAATCAAGGTAACTGGCACAAAGATGTTGATATATTTGTAAATTTAAGGTTCATGCCTATTGCAGGACTTAAGTAGAGTGATAGGATAAAGACTGGCCTTTTATTTGTTTGTTGATACCATAATGCTTCTGTATAAGTATTAAGGAAAGCACCTTAGCAAGGGGTAATGGTTAATGAGACTAGTCTGGTTGACCGTGACTATTAAATAAGGGGTTTGATCCTTACTATGTTCTCCATGTAAAATTTGTGATTAAATAATTCAATGGTTGACATGCCATAAAATCAACCAACCCTAACAAAAAAAATACATTTTTATTTTCAATGTTTTTTTTAATATATTTCTGGAATCATTAAAACTATCAAGAATTTTAATTAAATGAAAATAAAATTATTGCTCTATATATATATATAGGTGCGATGGGTAAATTGTCGCCATTATATACTTTTTATTTCTTGCATGCATGTTGTTTGTTTTTGATTTTGTCGATTGTACAGTATAGTGGGGTCTGTGAGAAAAAGAGCACCATGACATAACTCACTCTACCAGAAATTTGGAAATGACATGCTGTATTGCTTGGCATTCGTGCTGAAAGCTCCAATATGAACATTTCAGAGTGTTTGGGTGTGAATCTGAGGTTGAGCACTGAGGATTTGGAAAGAGTTGGATGAGTTGTATGGTGATTACAAAGGTATGGTAGCTCGGAAAACTCACTGAGCATTCTAATAAGAAAAGAACTCCTGAATTGGCGAGGGTCTCAGACTCAACATGGAGGCCTACAGCAAGTGCCTTGAGGAGGTAGTGCTACCCTGGGTCAAATGGGTGGCTGCTGGAAGATTCTAAGTCTGGCAAAAAGACTCTGCACTGTGCCACATGAGGAGTACCCAATCATGGCTGTCAGACAATTTCTGCAAACACATCACCCTTTACATCTGGCCACCTAACTCTCTAGACTGCAACCCCCTTGATTATCAAGTGTGGGGTGCAGTTAAGCAAGAGCCCAACAAAACTCCTTGTTACATCAAAGATGAACTGCTGGCAAGGATTATTGCAGCATTCACCAACTTAAACAAAGATACTGTCCAGAAGAGTTGCAGGAGATTCTGGAGGCTGTGGTCAAAGTCAATGATGATTTTATTGAATAAATTAACTTTATAGTATTTCTAGATATTTTTGTGTAATTTTGGTAAATATATCTGTTAAAATGAGATGTCAGTGTTATTTTCATTTTTGCGTAATTTATATATATATACATATATATTAAGTATATGCATGTGCACACCAGATGTAATATTGGAGATTGTGATGCTCTCTGGAACTTTATTCATTTTTTCCACACTTTAAATTCCATTTGGAATTTTCTTCAGGTAAAGGAACCAATGGAGGAAGTCTGTTTCACAATTTGCCCCTTGCAAGATGATAATATTAATTTTTTTAATTCACTCATTTAATTTAATTTTTAAGTTTAATTTGAATTAATTCAAATGTTTTTAATTCACAATGATAATTTTACATATAATTTATAACTTTTCTTTTTAAATTCTTTGTAATTTTTTTTGTAATCAGAATGATTATCCCAATTTGGGTAATTTTTTTTTCTTTTTGTCTTTCAGAGTTGAAATTAATTCTTATCTGTGTTACCCTTGTTTTGATTAATCCATTCATTTTCAACCTTTTACAAGTTATTTAAAGTCTGGAAATATTTTTAGATTTTAAGAATTTTTTTTTTTCAGGACATGATAATGGTTTAGTGATACAATTCTTACTAATTAACCCATAATTAGCCCAGTTCTTACTATTTAACCCATAGCTGGAGAGAGAAGAGATGGATTCATACTTTTCCCTAAGGCATTTGTGCGTAACTGAATATAATGAAGCCAACAAGAATTGGAACTTGGCTCTCTGATTAATAATTCCAAGCCATTATGCATTACACCACCTGGTATTCCCAAATGGTCACCCAATTAGGTACTGACCAGGCTCAATGTTGCTTAACATCAGTGATAATATGAGAACCAGTGTTTTAACATGATGTGGCTGTAAGCCTCACATTTTTAAACCTATTCTAAAAAACAGTGGGTAAACTAACTCTAAATTTTAATCTTATTAACAATATTTAAATTACCAGGTTAAGAAAATTCTCTTTACTAATTAAATATTTAGCAATTCTTTAACTTTTATTTTTTCAAACAAACTCATGTAAAAATATCTGCAAACATATGCAGTTCAGTCTAATTTTAGGAAAATTATCTTGTAACCCAACCTGTACTTTAAATAACAGTATTAAACGACCATTTCCACTTGTGTTAAATTCATACATGGAGATTCTGGTTATTTTTGGCACAGGAAATTTTTCCTGGGAGTAGTCCAAATTTGAGATCTAAAGATGTAGATCTCTTTCCTTTATAGTTTTGCATTATGAAGCATTCTGGGTAATTTTTATCTCACAAGATTGTCTTATCACATGGCTAATTTTTTCTTTTTTTTTTTTTAGATGAGACAGATACTAATAAGTTTTTATGATTATTAGTTTTTCTAAAAGCCAAGAAGTTAAAAAAGATATTCAGAATTATTTTGGTATGAAATGAAATTAGAATTAATGATAACAAAAGAAGCAGAAGAAAGCAGCGAAAAACCTACTTGGTAAGCAGGCACATATAAATGGCAAAACATATCGCAGAGACAAAGAGGGAGTCATAAAAGAGCAAGTATTGCTGAAAGCAATAAAAAAAGAAGGTGTGAAGAGTCATGATTGGAAATAAAAAGAAAAATTGAGTTATATTTTGGACCCTCGAAAACCCTTTTAAAATTTAATCTTATATTATTTTAGCAAATTATTCCTGTAAATTTTGTTTTATTTTAATATTGTCAGTCAAATTTCAAAATTTATTGTTCATAAAAATGCATCGATGAATAAAAACATTAATTTTTGACAGATGAACCCAGACAAAATAACTTTCAATTCCCTATGCTCGATGAATACAGAAGGTTAACCATAATCAGAAGATCAAAAATATAAGTGAATACATTTAAGGTCTAGAATCAGGGTTAAGAGTTAAGAGTGGAAGTAAGAATCTGGAAGAGGGTTTTGTATAAGCACTGAATTTATATAAAATATAAAAAAACTTGTCAAATTCAGAAACCTGAAAAAGAATAATGAAAAATATTTGTCATAAGCCAAAAAAAAGTTTCATTCACTACATAAGCTTATCTTGTAAAATTAATCCAAACTTTTTTTTTTTATTTACAGCACTTTGTATAGTTGATAACTGTTTATCTCATTCCAAAAAGAAAAGAAGTACCTGGAGAAAAGAAAAAGACAAAAATATCACTTCAAATGTTAAAGAACAAAAACAAATATTAAGGAAGATGATTGAAGAAACATTTGTAAAAAGATAAAATTGATTGTCCATCAAAATCACAGACCATTTGACATCAAGTCTCAAGTTTAATTTTTGGGAAAGCATGATGAACAATTTGCTTTTGACGTGGGATTTCAAACTTATTTTGAAAATGTCTGCACAGGAATTGTGTTCAGCATGTTACAAATAAGAAGAAATTAGTAAATATCATTCGATGAATAAAAATCCCCAACTGATTTCAAACCTCAGTTAATAATAACAATAATAAACAAAATGATATTGGGGTTTTTAAGTCCTGAATGAAACAGCAGATTTGGTGTTTCTAGAGAAGCACATCAATTTCTTCTTCATTTTATTTGTTTATATTAAAAAAGATGAATTTTTTTCTTCACAGACTGATAATAATTCAAGGTATAAATAAAATTATGACCATTATTTATTTTTTTTATTTTATTTTATTACTTTTTTCCATAATATAACTGACAAAAATTTAAAAAAAAATAATAAAATTTTAAAAAATTCAGTTTTTTTCCCCCTTTTTTTGAGTGGCACGGACTTTGTAAATATAAAGAAAAAAAGCCCATTGATTCAAAATTTTATTTTGTTGGTATTTTTTGTTTTTACCTGGTATCATACCTTGAATATAAATTCAAGTAATTGGTAATTTTTTTTACAAACATTAATAGCATTTTCAATGCAGAATCAAAAAAAAAAAAAAAATTTAAGCACAGAAAGCCAGAAAACTATTAAATGTTAAAATTTATGACATTTTAATGTTGAAATCATTCTTACCTATAAAGAAAGACAGATTTGGTGTAGTTTGTTGGTATCTTGGTAAAACTATTAGCATTTTTCAGTATTAAAAAAATTTGTAAAATATGAGGCCAAGTAAAAAAAAAATCCTTTGTTTTTATCTGCTTGTTGACAATACAAATTTTTAAAAAAAGATTTAATTTTTTGCACACCATTTACAAAATGTTCAAATTGTTGGAAAGTACCTTTACCAAAAAATCTTTCTCTGGTTTTTATGCCACACTAGATTTTATTATCCCCTAATAGATTAAAGAAGAGCATTGATAGACTTGCTCAAGGTCTATTGTTAAGGCTTAGACATGAGCTCACTATATGGATAAAATTAAATTTGAGTTTATAGATTTGACTAAAAACACTCATGGTTTGTCATAATTAAAACTAATTCTTCTTTCGCTGGTCAAGATAACATTTGATAAAGAAAAGTGTTTTTAAAATCAGACTTCTAAGTAACTAATAAAGATAACAGGCAAGTCCGTATCAAGTAGCCAATTCCATTTTTAGACGATCAATCAGATATGATCTTATGATTGTTTAATTTAGATATATTCTGATGTCATGTTTACAGTGATAACAAAACCAGTATATTCAAATAACAAATAAAGTATTTCATTAAAAGTTTCAAAAGAAGATGCCAAGCAAATCTGTAACTATTTTTAGCAGTCTGGACATTTTGTTCAAACATGGCACTTAAAATCTGTTTCCCAAATTTGGAAGAAAGTTTGTTTTATATATATATATATATATATATATATATATATATATAACAATAGCTACATATTTTTTCATTATCTATTATAATACTTATATATTTTTAAATTATTTTTTTTTTTTATGTTTAGACATCAGAGGCCCAAAAAATCTCAAACTTAGTGTCCCTAGAATCCTCAGCATTTCTTCTGGGTGTATAATTATAATGAACGTTTTCATTTATATTTTTTCCACCTCCCTCTCTCTCTATAAATATTTTATATATATATATATATATATATATATATATAGATAGATAGATAGATAGATAGATAGATAGATATTCCATCAATAAGCACATTAAAAAGAGCATATCAGGCTTAAATAAAGTACAAAACAAGTTTGCCTATCGGCTGGTTCACACTCCTCCCTGGTCTTTTGAGCAGGAGTAGAGGTTTATCCCTTGTTTTTTGTTTAACATTGGGTTTCTGGTTCCTTATAAAGTCTACTTTAACTCAATACTTCTAACATCTCTGTATGAACTCTGAAATTTTATTTATTAATAATTTTTTCTTTTTTCTTCTTAGTAGATAGGTTCACCTATCGTCCTGTTTATACTCCTCCCCAGTCTTTGAACAGATGTAGAAGTTTGTCCCTCGTTTTCTGTTTAGGATGAGGTTTCCACTTCCTTCTAAAATCTACTTCTATACTATCACTTCTACCGTCTCCAATTGAACACTGAAATGTTATTCACTAATTAAATCTGGATCTCTTCAAGTCTAGAGTCAGCCATTATCTTTCCTGCTTAGCCCCAACAACTTTACTTCTTGTTCTTTCTTATGCTCATACAACACCACACAGTAACCCTCTACTTTGAGTGATTCTGGGGCATATTATTTTGATATTTAACAATTTATATATCACGTTCTCCCATTATTTTTACTGTTAATATTCAAATGATACCCTTACACCAATTTCTAGGTGTAGATATTTTCTTCTAATTGAAAAAAAAATTCAAATCAATTTTAACTTTTCATATTTTTCTTGTTGTTCATAATTAAAATAATAAATATAATAATTTTATATATAATTTAATTTTATATTTAATAAAATTAAATGCAAATTTATAGTAAAGCCTTTAATTATAGACAACAGGAAAGATGAGAAAAGTTAAAATTGATTAATATTTCGACCATTATCATCATCATCATCATCATACTCTTCCAAATATTTCAACCAGTGTAATGGGGAGGGGTTCTGGAAAGAATAATGCTAGTTTAGAAAGACATGTAACACAAAAATTGGAAATAACCAAAATGTATAGATTTGAATTATCAGAGGGTCATCGGTGTATCAATTTCATTAGTAACCTAGTCACTAATTTTTCATTAGAAAGGAATATTTTGTTTTTCCTTTAAATTCATAGTTTTCTTATTTCAAGGTGAACTTGTCATAATAAATGTAACTAATTTGGAATGAAAGTTTAGAACTATTGTACATCACTTCTTCATTTCTAATAATTGAGCCCAAAGAGTATGTTGGATGGATGGATTTGAAAAATCCAATATGTCCTTCATGAATAATTTTTGTCTATATTTCATTGGCTTTACTAACTTGATTATTGCAAATTAATTGATAAAAACATTTTTCCTTTTAATCAATATATTTTTCATATATATATATATTATATAGAGTGCTCAATATTGGGGATAGAGTGTTTGTAGCTATAAGTAAAAATAAAGTACAATGAAGTAAAAATAAATAAAATCAAGGTCATGACTATAAATAATTAAAATAAAAAAAGCCCATACCCCCATGGAACCCTCCCATCTCCACTTCTCATAAAATCACCAGTGACCTAGTTATAGAACACACACAAAATTCTGATGACTGCCTAAAGCATGAAACTGCCAGTCACCATGCAGTGTTGATTTTTATGCAGACAGTTTTCTTTTCCCCATATACATACACACACACACACACACACACTATATATATATATATATATATATATATTGTTATTCAAAAAGAAAGAGCAGATTTTTTAAAATTTAATAAAAACAAATGCGAAGTGACAGAAACATATTACCAACAAAATGAAGTATTTAAACAAGAATGAAAAAAAAATTTACTGGCTTTTAATGAACATTTTTCTATCAAGTAATGTGCTGAATGTGT